CCCGTTTTGTTCGTTTTGTGTCTGTTTTGCATCCGTTTTTGGCTGTTTTGTGTAGTTTCTGGCAGTTTTATGTCACCCTTACGTTGTTTTACATCTTTTATAGTAATTTTGTGTGTCTTTGTTGTCATGTTTCCCTAAATTAAACGCATCTATCCATCAGTATCTGTTGCTGTTGTTTATGTATCCGCCCTATCAGTCAGGGCCTTCTGGATCTAACACTACGTTACCCAGCGGCTGGAGGAGGACAGTCAGCTGTTTGTCTCTCTATGTCCTGCAGAGTCTCTGGATCTGGTCTTGTCTCGAGGTTGTGCGACGTCGCGTCACTGTCAGCAGACGGAGCTTCCTGGAGTCTCGGTGGCCTGCTGTGATTGGTCGCTGTGTAATGGCAGCTGGCGGTGGGCGGGGTCAGGCGTTGCGGTCATCATCAGCTGCTGGTTTCCTCTGCAGGGACTCACCTGATCCTGACAGAGAGCGCACACTGAGCATGTGCAGCAGGCCTCATCTTCATTTAACACCTACGCACCTGCAGGATGAAACACGGTGATCCTGGTGTCACCGCTATGTATTCATTTTATCCTATTTTTTGTTTGTGTATTAATTTATACATTTCGATTTATTTTATCACGTCACTTTTCTATTGTTGTCTTACTTTTTCTGAGTTGTAGACTGACTGTTTCCAGTCTGTGTTTTTAGTGAGTCCTTTCATTTGGAACAACATGTTAATGAGCATTTCTTAAAATAGCTTTCTTCCTTTTTGTCTGTGAAGCGATTTGTGTTAAATCCTGTTTGCCTAGAAGGTGCTACACAACTAAAGTCTGATTTAGTGATACTGTGATCTACCTTGTGTTCTGCTGTTTTGACTTTAACTCTTATTCACATTTCTGGACTGTATGCAAAAGAGATTTTTCGTGTGGAAACCTGACCCTGGTGTTTTCCTGCACTGTGACAGTCGGTGAGTTGATTCAGAGATGTTCTTCTAAATGTTCCACATTTTTCAGCCCCCTTCAGTATCAATAGTCTGTCAAACATACAGAAATACCCTAAAATAGATGTTGTTGTCGTATGTACGTGGTCTATTTGATATGAGAATGTAGTGATGTTTCTGTACATATATATTATTATGTGTACACTCATATATTACCTGTGAATTCCTCTGTTTAAGATGAGGTTGTGACACACTTTTACATGAGTGTTTGTGTTTATTTTAATTTTTTGATGCTTTTTTGACTATTTGGGCTATTTTGTGTCTATTTTTTGACTCTCTGTGTCTAATTTTATCTGGTTTGTGCGACTTCTTGTCTGTTTTCTGTCCGTTTTTGCTTTCTAAGCCTCTAGTTTGTGTGTTTCACTTGTGTACGGGCTCGTCTCACCTGTGATTCTTCAGTAAAATCAGTCTCGATTGGAAACTGACTTCGCGCTCTATTTCTTGACCTTCTTTACTCGCCGTATGACTCATCACGCCTGCGCAGTAGCAGCTCCGCGCTCTCCAGCACATTCTGGTTGTAAAGCAGAGCTAGCTGAAGCCCACAGGCTGTTGTCTACCTGCAGAGGTACCGGTCCGCTGCATCACCGAGCCAGTACCCGCCTAGAGCCGGTCCAGACCTCGTTCAGGTCGTCAACTCGGTCCCGGTTCTGACCCGGATCCTGCGCCGACCGCAGAGGCTGCAGTTTGCTCGCTGTTAGCATCGGCAGCTAGCATTAGCTTCGCTTCAGCAGCAGAGAATCAAAACAAACAGAAGCTAGGAGAAGCTAACGGCGGCTAGCAGCCCGAGAGCAGCAACATGGCGACTGAGGAGAAGAAACCAGAGACGGAAGGCAGCAAACAGCCTTCATCCTCCTCTGGCTCCGGCAGCAAGGTGAGTCCGGCGGTCTGACGCAGGTTCGGACACCTGGACGGCCGGTCCGGTCCGTCAGCTCACCTGAACAGGAGTTGTGTTGTCCGTGTAACTCATTATATGTCATCATGTATTACCTTTTTACTGTGTACAGTCATCTTTACTCGCCTCAACACTCTGTATTCACAAATAAAACCACTTGACAAACCGGTAGCTGAATGTGAGCGGTTTCCGGACCGGTTCGACTGGACTGGTTCGACATGACTGGTGCTCAGGGCGCGTCACAGCCCACAGATGAACGTGTCTGTGTGGTTCTCTTAGAGAACCGTTCTGGTTCTGTCTACGTACTGTGCACGTCACTGCTCAGACTTGTTTGGTTTTGGTAGGTTCAAGTCGTTCAGAGGCTCCTTCAGTCAGTCTCAGCTGAAGATGATGAACCATCTTAAAGACGAGTGCAGTTGGTTTCTGCTGCAGCTCCGACAATGACCACGACCTGAGAATCTTCAGGCCTTTTCTTTCTAGTTTTGGAAAAAATATAAACCCTCCCTAAACTCCTGGCTCATATCAGGGTGTCTGTCAGTGATGGTAATGCGACGTGATGTCAGCCTCCACAGAGATGTGATGTGAATGCGTCTGACTGAACTGAGTCTGTCTCTGTGTTGCTGTTTAGTCGAATCCAGCGAAGCCAAACTACACAGTGAAGTTCACGTTGGCTGGACACACGAAGGCAGTTTCTTCTGTCAAGTTCAGTCCTAATGGAGAATGGCTGGCCAGCTCCTGTAAGAACCACACTCATTGTCCTGACTGCTAAACTGAACTGCTTCTTGAATTCCACATATTAAAAACTCTTAACATAATGTGCAATAAATGTTACTGAAATATACTTGTTTTATGTTTGTAAAATATTACTGAAGTGTCTGAAAAATAATGTAATGTACAGTGTAAAAATATTAAAACATCTTTAAACATCTGATTATGTCACGTAAATGTCACGCTGATGTTAAAGTGTGATGCCGATGATGCAGTAACCATGGTAACGTCTCTGCAGCGGCTGATAAGCTGATAAAGATCTGGGGAGCGTACGACGGAAAGTTTGAGAAATCCATCGTAGGACACAAACTGGTGAGAAGCTCTATTCTAATTCAGATTCTGATCCTGGTGCTGGTTCTGATCCTGGTTCTGTGTGTTTGTAGGGGATCTCTGATGTCTCCTGGTCTTCGGACTCCAACCTGCTGGTTTCGGCCTCTGATGACAAAACGCTGAAGATTTGGGACAACAGCTCTGTAAGACACAGAAAGACAACGAAACGGAAGACGGCTTGTTTCAGGATTTGCATAGGAATCAAAGAGCTGCTGTTAGAGCAGAACCAGAACCGGCTCAGTGAGCATCTGTCTCCTGTCTGTCTCTGCAGGGAAAGTGTCTGAAGACTCTGAAGGGGCACAGTAACTACGTCTTCTGCTGCAACTTCAACCCTCAGTCCAACCTGGTGGTGTCTGGATCGGTACGCAGTACTCAGGTTCTGCTGTGTTTCTGCTTAGTCGTGGTTCTGGGTTCACATTAATCCATCTGTCTGTTTCCCTGCAGTTTGACGAGAGTGTTCGTATCTGGGACGTGAAGACGGGGAAATGTCTGAAGACGCTGCCGGCTCACTCGGATCCAGTCTCTGCTGTAGGTCCTGTCCTCTGACCAGACTTACGAACTCATGCTAAC